GGTGTTTTGTATGGTATTAACCCGACCCATTTTCGATGTGAAAATGTATGGTAACATGTCTCCAAAGAATGATCATTCTCTTACGCATTTCCGATCTTCGGGTCCTATAATAAGTCAACCTATGAACAAGCTTATGTTTTATGGCTTATGGCTTATGGCTTATGGCTTATTGTTTATGGCTTATGGCTTATGGCCTATGGCTTATGGTCTATGGCTCATGGCTTATGTTTTATGGTTTATGGTTTGTGGTTTATGGTTTATGGCTTAGAGCTTATGGCTTTTGCAAATGGCTTAGGGATTTTAGCTTATGGCTTATGTTTTAGGGATTAGAGCTTATAGCCTAATGCTTGAGGCTTAAGGCTTATGACTTGTGACTTATGACTTATAACTTATGGTTGATAGTGTATGATCTATGGCTTATGTCATAGGACTTAGGGCTTAAGGCTTAAGACTTAGCGCTTATGGCTTATAGTCTATGGTTTATGACATATGGTATATAACTTATAATATATGGTCAATGACTTATGGCTTAGGGCTTATAGATTATGGTTATGGCTAAAGGATTATAACTTATGGTTATGGCTAAGGGATTATAGGCTTAGAATTTAAGGTTAAGGGATTAGGGCTTAGGGGATTGTAGCAGTTGAAGACTAACGATGAAGATGAATGATATATGTTGACTTTGGCATTTTCGATTCTTGTTGGCAAAATTCATAGTAATTCTCATGTTCGATTCTTGTTGAAAAAATAGATAATAATTCACATGTCTTATTCTTGTTGATAAAATGCATATAAAAATCTATTTACATGATGTTTATAGATTATAGCAGGTGAAGACCAATAATTCAAACTGGCTTGACATTTTATCTTGTTTTAAGAATCAAACATAAATATAACTTTTGAACTTCAAACGGTCTAAAATACCAAGTCAACTTAGATCATTGTTCTTTACATTCTACAATCACCGAGCATCTTGGAAATATATTTTTGATATGTATTTTGCCAACAAAAATTGGACATGACATCCTTTCTTTTTGTTTTTGATTAAAAAGAATAAATGTTTCATTTTAAATTTTAATATTGAAAACTATCAAGAACATCATAAGCAACAACAAGATTAAAAATAAAAGAATTACGAGCTAAAACAAAAAAGTTGGTATAACAAAAAATTTGCAAAATTTGAGAGCTTTTTTCGAGAAAAAAAAAGAAGAGTTTTTTTTTTCAAAAAGAATTATATAAAACTAAAAGATTAATAAATCTATTAAAACGGTCAAATCAAAAACAAAATAAAGCATGCAAGGGATTTTCAAAAAAGTAAAAATAAATTTGATGTTTAATCGTGAAAAAACTCAATATCTAATGTTTTTATGTGGTTTTAATGTAGTTATCATCAAATGTTTTTATAGAGTATTATGTCTTTAATAAAAAAAATTAAAGTTTAGTGTTTAAATCATAAAATCTAATAAAATATTATGATTTTTTTTTTGTACTTAGCCTTATAAATTATTAGGATTTATTTTTGAACTTCTAAATTTTTTTTAATGCAAATCTAATTTATATACTATATTAACTGGTCACTAGAAATAGTATATTTTGTGTGTTTTAAGATTTTTCCACAATACATCTTATAATTTGACAGTTTTAGTCCATATTTTATATGCTTCAAGATTTTGCCACAATATTTTGTATAGTTTGACAATTTAGTCACTTAGATGTTGTAATTAGAGATTGATTCATGCCTTTTAATATTTGTCACTTTAAGTCCCACTATTTTGTATGCTTCAACATTTTGCCACAATATTTTCTATAGTTTGACAATTTTAATCATTGGTATGTTGTAATTAGAGATTGACCACTTGTCTATTAATATTTGTCACTTTAAGTCCCTTTGACCATTTTGGCGTTCTTTTTGTCTTTTTTTTCGTATTACTACTTATATTTCATTACAAATTGGCCATTTTGTCTTTTTTTCCTATTACTACTTATATTTCATTACAAATTGGCCACAAGTGTTTTAATATTTCTCACTTTCAATCCCTTTAACCATTTTTGACATTCATTTTGTCCATTTTCCGTCTATCGACTTGTGCTTCTGTTTTGGGTTTCGTTTTCTCATCGTCATTCTTTATGAATAGAACAAAACACATCTCATTGCCACAAAGGTGACCCGTGGTTCACCACAGGCCCACCCACTAGTTTATTTCTAAATTATTATGAATTATTAGTGTTTTCTTTTCTTCTTCTTCTTCTTCTTCTTTTTTTTTTTTTTTTTTTTTTTTTTTTTTTTTTTTTTTTTTAAATAAAGCTCATGAAAGTGTACCGGGTCATTTTTGCATTTTATAAAAACGATCGGGTTTTATTTAAACATTCAGACCCAACTTCATCGGGGTTTTTAAGCTTCCCCAAATTTCCACAATACGACGACGCTTCTCTCGCCGTCGCCGGCGACAAACACTTCCATCTTGTATAAGGTAGGTCTAATCACTCCATTTATATCGCCTCACTTCTATCAGTTTAAGTTTTATCTTTGAGCCTTGGTAAGATACTTAAAATAAGTTTATTTCTCTAAAGTTTCACTTTGATCATATCTCTATAGTGATCACCCCCTCCCCTGAAATTACAACCTCGGTGTATCAATTTTGTAATTTCTCTGGCACTGTGAATTTGATATCTTGATCTCCTGTTTCTATAATTTTGTAACTGTTTTAGGAAAAGGAGTATTGCCTATATAAATATGTCGTTTATTGCTTATTCTTTTAGAAATTTGGTAGATTCATTAGTTTAATACTTTGCTAAGCTTAATACAATGTTAGATGTTGTAAGTGAGTTGCTTTCTTTCTTTATTTGACTTCAGTTATATCTCTGTGTGATGCTCTTATACTCATATTGCATTCTGGATGATCTTTTTTATCAAAATTTCTACTTCAAGATTCGCCTACAACCTGCTCGATGAAATGCTTAAGAGAAACTTATGGTTGCTTCTTTATCAATATTAATATCATTATTATTTGTTAATTTAGGTACAATTTTCCGGAAATATTTTCAAGAGAGAGAGATGAGCTTGTTTCAAAGATGGGCTTACATAGTAAAAGAAGCACTTGACAAAAGCTTTTCAGTTGCCAAATTCTTCTGTGCAATTCATGTCACCAATACCTACCTCTTCTCCACTGCTATGGTAAACTCTAAAGGATCCTTTTGATTGGATGGCATGGAATGAGTCATTCCATTCCATCAAACAAAACAAATATCTTCATTCTATTCCTTATGTGATTCCATCATACCAAACACTACCTAAAACAATCGTCTACATGCAGGTCCAAGGTCCTAGCATGCTCCCCACTTTCAACCTCAACGGTGAGATTGTCCTACTTGACAGAATCTCAACCCGTTATGGCAAAGTGGGCCCCGGTGATGTCATCATAGTCCGGTCACCTGAAAATCCAAGAAATGTTGTCACCAAGAGAATTATTGGCATGGAAGGTGACAGTATCACCTACATTGTGGACCCCACACATAGCGATAGAACCGAAACCATAGTTGTATGATTAATCTTTTTTTTTTATTAAATTGTGTGCTGTATAAATAAATAAATAATAATGTTTTGGTATTTTTATATGTATAGGTTCCAAAAGGACATGTTTGGGTTGAAGGGGATAACATTTATAATACTTATGATTCAAGGAATTTTGGACCTGTTCCTTATGGACTTCTTCAAGGCAAGGTTTTTTGGAAGGTAATTATTTATTTATTTATTTTGGGTATAGGGTTTAGGGTTTAAGAAAAATGCTTATTTTTATAAATGTTACAGATATGGCCTACAAGTGCATTTGGATCAATTGGGAGGAGACCACAAATTGGTAACCCTGCCTTTAAGGTACTTTCTGTAAGGCTTTGTTTGTTACACGGGACATGATGACTAACAAGCTTTCTAGAGCTATTTTTGGTTATGAGGATTAGGAGGGCATTTTCGTCTTTTGCACGACTGGAGATTGAGAATTATTACCTCTCCATACATAAGCTTTAAGCCTTGATTTCAATAATCAAATACTTATCCTTATCTATTTGAAATATGTTATACCCCTCCCCACTATTTGTTGTTTTTAAGAACACATTATAATTGATATTGATATTATTTTTGTAAAACTATGTAGTTATAAAAAAGGCAAATTTGATAAAAAAAAAGTATAGTACTTTTTTTTTTTTTTCAAAAAGTCACTACATAAAACTTTGAATTCTAAAAAAAAAACACTATAGTGATTTTTATGGAATTTTACCTTATAAAAATATAATATTTTTAATATTTAATAAATTAGATTAATTAGTCAGAAATTAACAAAAGTTAAATATAAAGTATGATTAAAAGATTTTTTTTTTCTAGTTTTTCTTGAATTTTATGTGGTATGTGTTTTGGTTACAGGTTGTGGAGCAGTGACACATTTTTGACTTGTAAAATGATGAAATCTTATTGAACAAGGCAGTTTTTTTTTGTTTTGTTTTTTTTTTTTTTTTGAGCTACAAATGGAACATCATTTGTTTGTCGTGGGGGCATATTTATTTATTATAGCACTCTTCATGTTTGGGAATAATACGATTTGGGCTTATGAATGTAGACAAGGACATTTATGTCTTTTGCACAACATTGAGAGTGAGTAGATTGTTACTTTTTTTAGGTAGGATAAAAAGATTATAATTTTTATCTCATTAACGTTAACTCCTGTTTGCTATGATAATGAAGAATCAAAGGACTTTGAGTTTGAGCTTACATGTAGTCTGTTTCTATAGTGCATAAGCGTAGAAATAAAACAAGATGGAGATGAATATCATAACATTTAATTTTCACTTTTATTGGGTTAACGCCCTAAATGGATAATGGAGATGAATATCATAACAAGATTATAATTTTTATTTATTTTCCTGCAACACCGTTGGTTGGATATGATAACAAGAAAAGAAATTATAGTATAATGTTACAAAATATAATATAATAATTTAATAAAAACATAAAAATGTACAATGTTGTAACAGAAAAAAAATACATATCAAAGAAAAAAAAAAGAGATTGTATTTATATATACAAAAAACCTAAACTATCAAAATCCCTCCACTTTTGTTTTCACCTTTGTTGACTCGACTCGAGCAAGTAAGAAGTTGTTAAATATCGTTTGGTCAACTTGAGTCATATCGGACTTGCCCTTGATCCCTACATTAAAAAAAAAACAATTGTTCTAGATTCTTCCGGAACATTAACATAAAGATTAAAAAATAAATAAAAAGCATTCGAACCTGATTTTGTGCAGTTGTAATACTAGTCCAATGTTATGGTTGTGTTGTAGTAGCCGGATAGTCACTTACATAAGCAAGTGTTCTAGATTCTTCCGGAACATTAACCACAACCAAAGGTGGCAATTCTCTCATTACCCACAACACAAAACCTGAAGGTACGGATGAACCTGGACAAACATGGTATCCAAAAAGAGTTAAATGCAAGAAATAGCAATGTACTTTCATTGACTTTTTCAAAGTACAATGTTGTAATAAGTAAAAAATGAAAGTAGGATGCTAGTTTTTGCATATACCTATGAAGTAGTAGACAATGAGTAAAAGAGAAGCATACAGGCCTCCGATTCCCCCCCAATCACAATGATAGAGAACCTGTGAAAATCAATGACGTGGGCCCCACCTACTACATTAAATTAAGACATTGAGGAAAATGGCTGAATGAATTAAGCAGAAAAATACTCACGGGTATATTTGTAAATATAGCAACAACTGAACTTGAGGTGAAACAAACAGCAGAAACTATCGCAAGTCCAGCAACCTGAAAAACAGAAAAAATGTAAACTATAATAAAGACATAATTACACTTTTGGTCCTTGTGTAATTGTAATTTTTGTAATATCGATTCTTTTTGGATATTTTTTTGCATTTTTCGACCCTATATACTATTTTGGTCCGTGACTTGCACAATGTTTAGAAATGGGTGTTAAGCACGTGTAAAATTACCATTTTGCCCTTCAAATTTTGTACTTTTTTATTGATTATGATTATTATTATTTTGGCGGAGCAAAGGACTTTTGGGGTTCTAGTTAGGGATTTGGAGAGGGGGACGAATGAGTATGAGGGGCAAAATGGTCATTTTCATAAAATTAACGAATCGGCTGTTAATTAAATGACCACATACCTTCCATATTTCGGAAGAAGCCCTCTCAGATCTCACTTTACTCATTTTTGATACCAGCACATATCCTGTACATTTTTTTATAAAAGCAGATGAATTCAAATAAACAATAAATCAAAGAAATAAATACAAAAAAAAAAAAAATGGAAAAGTACAATGTTATAATAATAAGAAAAAAAATCAAATGTACAATGTTGTAATAGAAAGAAACAGAATAATACACAAATACGTTGCTATTTCTTGCATAAAGAGAAGAAATTTGTAGCATTAAAATATTTAAAACTAAAAAAATTAAAAATAAAAATAAAAATAAAAGTAGCAGATACCAAAGATGCTGACCATAGTATGCTAATGCGCCACCTAGGACAAGCATTACAACAGCAAAAGTATCTACATACACCTGCAAGCTTATAAGAAAAAATAGCATCATACTTTGAAATTTATTAATAAAAAATAAAAAAAAGTAAATATTAAATAAAAACCAATAATTTATACCCTTGCCACAACTGAGGAATCAATAGGATTCTTTCCAAGGCCAATCCAAATAAGCACAGCTGATGTCAGCATTAACACAAGTATCAACAAAGTCACCTGTTAAAAGAAAGACGAAAATACCCCTGGGTTAAAAAAAAGGACAAATTGTAGATAGGGGAGGGGCAAAATAGTAATTATGAATATACCAATATGACAATTTGTTGACGGATGCCAACAGGGAAGACTCTAATATTGCAACATCTTCTGCGAGTGTAATTAATAACCTTCAAATTCGGCTTATTTACTTTCTCTACCAAAGCTTCATGAAAACTACCTTCTGATTCATCTTCATCTTCATCATTTGCTTGATGACAAAGGTCAACCCTACGATTGTTGACCATGAATTTTAAAAGGGATAAATCTATCAAGATTTTCATAAATTTCACACACTGAAACATACCAGAAAGATAGAAGAAGAAGAAAAGCTGCAAGAAATAGAATCTTGGGCAATGCTACAAAACAAAATATGAAAATACTTTTTTTTTTTTTTTATAATTATCCAAGATGTGTAGTTGTAAATTTTATAATATAAGAATTTCTTGAGTTATAATATAACAACATACCCATAACAACAAAACCACATGAATTTGACCAACAGATCCACTTCTTACAAGCAGCAACAAGAGTTAATATAAAATAAACACCATAACCTGTCACAAAAAAAAAAAAAAAGTTTGTTGGAAATATAAGGAAATTTAATGTCTTAAAATTAATACAAAGAAAAAGTCTTAAGTATCATACCAGTGTTGGAAAAACCAATCATTAGATGAAACACCTGAAATTAGATTTTTAAATGAGTTAGTATAAGTTACATTTGATGACATTGTAAAGTAGAAAAATTTATGTAACAAATAAAATATATATTGCGCATATTGGTAGCAAAATAACAATTTATAAATGTGTTGCTATTATAGAATGAATTCTCATGAAAATCAGTGACAAATAAAAGATATTTAAAGGGTATTACTTACTTTCTGTCGAGTCCAACCCCTTTGTGGATTCCTAGAATGAATTCTTATCAACTGACGCAAGAAAGTACAAAATATTAGTATTAAAGAAAAAATCTTAATTAGAATTTAAGTATTGAAATTTAAATAAAAGAACATCAATCAGAAACTTTTTGATTTACGACTATGCAGTGAGTTTATATTAGAAAGAACTACAAAAAGTCAGAATGGCATATTCTCATTTCTGATTCTGATTCTCATTTTTTTTAAAAACAAACACTCCCATTAACTCCTGAAGAATCAGCATCTTAATGTACTAAATAGTTACAGAAGAATGCTTTCTTATGCAGCTCTAGCTACTAGTTACTTCCACAACGATATAGGAACTACATCTTACAGCATTATGAAGTGAAGTTAATTCTTCATTTCTTCATTAAGGGTAAGCAAACAAATCCCATTGTCAACCAATTCACGAAAAGAAGAACTCGTTAACTCAGAGGCGATTAAAGCAATTTACCCTATTGTGAAAATTGGCATTACGTTTGACATATTGGAAGTGAATTTTCGATTTCTTCAATCCAAACAACAAATCATTTGAGAAATGGAGAGTTATAGCAAACCTAATAACCCAATTTGAAAAGTCAAAATGTAGAGATTGATTGAAATTTGAAAAGAGAAGAGACCTGGTAAAATGCAAGGAGGGCAATAGCGACATCGAGAAAAGCAAGAGCAAGATTGACAGCCACTAAGGGCTTTGAGTAACAACCAGGCTCTGTTAACTCCCCTATCATCATCTCGCTCCTCAAGCATGCGGACCCCATTATTCGAGAGCCTTCTTTGTATTCATACATGAAGAATTGGAGTCTCAGCCTCTCAGGGCTTGGGTTGATGGAGAGTGTAGGGTTAGAATTTGAAAAACAAAAATCTTGTTGTTGCTGCTGTTGCTGAGGTATCTATCAATGGCGGATCTGCTAATTGATAACCGTCTTCTTTATATACCACTACTTAGCTGTCTCTGTAAAATGAAATGTCTTTGGTAGTGAGTGCATCTTCCGTATATTTGCACACGTATGTAATGATGTGACGTTGTCTGTCGTCATATTTTGAACCGTTTGGTTTTATGAAATCCTCAGGCCTTCCGTACCCGGTTTTCATCCAACCCGGTTCATGTATTTTATTAAAGGGATATTCTCTAAAAAAAAAAAAAACAACTGTTTTTTTGGATGTTATATTTTGGCCTTATTCTTAAAATTTTATAGTTTTTTTATACATATTTTAAAAATTCTTTTTAACTATGTTTGAAATGTCAATTTTCGAAGTGTGGAACATTATCTTACTAATATTAGACAACTCTGTATGGTATATATTTTTCATTTATTATTTTGTTTAATTTTTTAGTTTGTTGTAATAAAAGAAGTTTTTTTTTCTTCAAAATTCCATAATCGTTCGTCGGATTTCATACTTATTCTTGAAATTCCGAAGTTTCTTCAAACTCAATACAAAACACATAGATTTGAGCGGGTAAGAGTTTATTAAATGAAATTTTTAATTAAATGAAAGTTCTATAATCTTTATTAAAAAAATAATAAGTTATAAAAAAAACTTTAAAATGATATTTTGGTCCTATTACATAATTTACTTTCCAATTCATTTGACAAATTTGCAAACCAAGCAGAAAACATATTTTATTTCATGTCAACTAAACACATTACATATCCTAATTCTTTTGATAGATTTCATTTCTTCCAAAAAAACATTCTACAAACGACACGTTCCCTTAAAGTTTTGGATGATCATTTGAGACTTTGAAAAAAAAGAGAGAAATTATGTGAAATATTGAGGGCATTAATGTCGGGGAACACTTATTTTCAAATTGAGAATCATTAAGAAGTGTCCAATCATATTGGACTAACTATCGAGCATTGAAGATATTAACAAAAATTCCTTAACTTCATCGCTGAATTTAAACTCGTTCATGTGATCCGTAACCGGCATATCTTCCTGCATCTTCATATTCACCAGAGATGGAATCAAGAAAATTTTATTAGTTGTAGAGGGTTTTTTTTGTACATATTGGATAACGTCGTGATTAGGCCAAACAGTGTCTTCTTGTTAATGAAAACCTAACCATCCCAAGTGTATGTCGATCTAACAATACCTGATCCTCTTGCTTTATCGATTCATGTTTATTTTCTGATAATGGTTGATCAGTGGCGGATCCATAACTAAATATAAGTGGGGTCCATTTTCATAAAAAATATATATAAAAAGATAAAATTCAAATTTTTTTTTTGGTTTTTCAGGTAAATGAAATGTCAATTGGTGCATTTTAATGTACAAATAGGTGTTAAGGAGGGTGTTTTTAGTAAAAATATGATTTTTGAAGGGTTTATTAGTAAT